AACTGGAACAAATTTTTCCTGTTCCTATTAAAGAGCTGTGGTTGTTTATTATGATGATGTGTAATAATGAGGGGCTAAGAACATATTTATTTTGGTGACTGTTTAAAGCAGGGTGGGGAACGTCCGGCCCAGGGGCCATATAAGGCCCACGAAATCATTTGGTCTGGCCCTGCGAGGGTTGAGTTAATTAAAAGCCTGACCAAATATAGCAGGCTAATCTTTAAGTTGATAATTTTGTATGGCCTGCGAGTGATGTTATAAATAGCCAAATGGCCCATAGCAGGAAAAAAAAGTTCCCCCACCCGTTTTATTTTTTTATATTTTTTATTTATTCCCGGCCTTCCCGCTGCAGTTTGACAATTGCAACCACATGGATGGAACCGGAGAGCATTATGCTAAGTGAAATAAGCCAGTCAATGAAGGAAAAATACCACATGATCTCACTCATTCATGGATAATAGAGACCCCACCCCAGTTTTAAAGAAAGCAATAAAGACTTCAGGTAGTGGAGAATGAGGAGGAAGTAGCCCAGCCCCTAGTGTAGGGGGGAACGTGGCTCCGTGGGGAGCTTTGTTAACATAGCCCTGCCTGGGCCGGGGCGCCTCCATGCGTTTGTACACTGACTGTCCCATGTCCCCACAGACAGTGTACAACCTGGCCGATGTGGCCTGCAAGTGCCACGGGGTGTCCGGCTCCTGTAGCCTCAAGACGTGCTGGCTGCAGCTGGCCGACTTCCGCAAGGTGGGCGACGCCCTGAAGGAGAAGTATGACAGCGCGGCGGCCATGCGGCTCAACGGCCGGGGCAAGCTGGTGCAGGTGAACAGCCGCTTCAACTCGCCCACCACGCAGGACCTGGTCTACATCGACCCCAGCCCCGATTACTGCGTGCGCAACGAGAGCACGGGCTCGCTGGGCACGCAGGGCCGCCTGTGCAACAAGACGTCCGAGGGCATGGACGGCTGCGAGCTCATGTGCTGCGGCCGCGGCTACGACCAGTTCAAGACCGTGCAGACCGAGCGCTGCCACTGCAAGTTCCACTGGTGCTGCTACGTCAAGTGCAAGAAGTGCACGGAGATCGTGGACCAGTTCGTGTGCAAATAGTGGGCGCCCGCCGCTCGCCTGTCACCCAGCCCCGTTCCCAGGACCCACTTATTTATAGAAAGTACAGTGATTCTTGTTTTTGTTTTTTTAAAATATTGTTTTATTTTCCCCCGAGAATTGCAACCGGAACCATTTTTTTTTCTGTTCCCATCTAAGAACTCTGTGGTTTATTATTAATATTATAATTATTATTTGGCAATAATGGAGGGTGGGAACCAAGAAAATATTTATTTTGTGGATCTTTGAAAAGGTAAGACTTCTTTTGACGGTGGAGGATGAGGGGGGAAATAACACATACCCTGACTGAGTTGTGTGCACATCTAGAGGGTAAAGGAAATACGTTTTCTTTTTGTCAGCTGTGGGGTTGTATAGGACAGGTAGCATCCAGCTGGAATGGGTTGGTCCAAGTCTACACTCCATTTAGCCTCGATGACCAAAATGAATTGTAAATGCTCTGGTGAAAGGTCTTATGAAACAAAAAAAAAATGAGGCCCCCCACCCTTTCTCCAGGGGCTACCAGCCTGAAACATTTTCGAAATGGTAATTTAAAATATAAGAGCGAGAATCTCATTTCCCGCAAAGGAAAAAAAAGTATATCGTGTATCTCATGCTTCTCAAACATTCCATGTGCACATGGTCCCATTCTAACAGCAACTGAAACTTGGGGAGCAGGGAGGAAAGCCTCAGAAAGGAAAAAAAAAAAACTTAAAAACTCCTATATTAAGACTGATTTGAAGCTGTTACAGGAATTAGGTTATCAGATTGGGAAAGCATCCCCGAATGACTCTGGGTTGTAGACTTTTTGTTTGGAGAGGGGTGGGGGCGGTTGGCTTGAATCTAAAGGAAAATATACTGTAATTTTCTTAGGGATACTTGGTTAATAAATGATAATAATCAAAATAATAAATGGATTCCATTCACAGACCTTCCGCCCAAACACCAAGGTAATTGAATGCAGTTCAGCGCTGCACCAGAGCAGAACACCTGATGGCAGGGAAGGAGTGAAACCCGCCCTCCTCCTTGACCCCAGCCCTGGCTGAGCCCTCCTTGCCCCGCTGCTGAGGTGAGGCCAGCCACGTTTCCCAAGGCAGCTCCACCGGGTCCCCTTGGATTGCAGGACAGGAAATGAACCATTAGGAGCTCCACTTGGAAAACAGTTGCTACTTAGGGATTTTTTTCCCCCTAAAACTTGGATTCTGAGGAGCCGTAGTTTATGTTTTAATGACATTACTTGGCTGATGGAGTCCACAGAGAGGTGTTGCAGCGTGTCACTGTTACGATCCTGTGTTTAGACGCTGCACTTGAACTTTTCCTATGACACTGCAGGTGAACCCTACAACTGTTCCTACTGGACCGGAGCAGATGCATGTATGGGGGGAGGGGGGGGCGTGGATGTGCTTTAATGGTGCCTGATATCTCAAAGTCTTTTGTACATAACACACACACACACACACACACACACACACATATATATATACATATATATGTATATATAAAAATATAAATATTATTATATCTCAGTGCAGCCAGTGATTTAGAATTACACTTTCCTCTGGGGTTATTTCTTGGACTAGAACATTGTTGTCCTTCATTGTGATTCATTGGGATTTTAAGAAGGGGTTTTCGAGTTGAGCATGGGCTGTGGGCCTGATGCGATGCTACCTTGAGCATCAAGAAACAGCCTGGTGTCTGAGGAATCTGGAAGGCCTTCCTCCCTGATATGCATGTTGGTTTGAAGATTTCTTTTTTCTCCTCCCCACCTTTTCTCCAACCTCCATTTCTGTACACTTTCCTAAGAGGGCATTACTAGTTCATCATAGTCTTGGAAATGAAGAGAGATTTAAAGCTAGGAAGTATAGTCATCATTTCTCTCTCCTTAGTTCATTATGCAGAGTGGAAACCGGTGCCTGGTAGATTTAGTAGTCCCTGTTTGAGTCCCTGAGGAAAATCCAGCTCATGACATATATAACTAATTTTTAAAACAGGAAACCTCTTTCCACAAAGTGCCATCCAACGTGTCCTTATCTCAGACTTGCATGTTTGAGAAGTTTGGAAAGATACACATCCCCTACAGCCGTCATGGGCTTGGTGGCCTTCGTATCACCTCAGCCACGCGTGGCTCTTAATTTATTGCACAAGGATATTCACTTCCCCCTCAGTTGCAGTGAATTGCAAGCAAAAGACCTTGAAATTAAAAAGCACTAATTAGTTTAAAATGTCACTTTTTTGGTTTTTATTATACAAAAACCATGAAGTTTTTATTTGCTAAACCAGATTTTGTTCCTTCTTAGTGATTCATGTTTATGAAGAGAGTTGAGTTTAACAATCCTAGTTTTTAAAAGAAACTATTTAATGTAAAATATTCTACTTGTCATTCAGATATTATGTATATCTTCTATGGCCTTTATTCTGTACTTTTAATGTACATATTTCTGTCTCGCGTGATTTGTATATTTCACTGGTTTAAAAAACAAACATCAAAAGGCTTATGCCAAATGGAAGATAGAATATAAAATAAAACGTTACTTGTATATTGGTAAGTGGCTTCAATTGTCGTTCAGATAATTCATGTGGAGATTTTTTGAGAAACCATGAGGGAGAGTTTAGGGTGACTCCCTGTTAGCATAACAGAAGAGCGGAGAATTATTTTTTTCTTTTACCCCAAACCAAACTATTTGGAAGCTTCAAAAGATTTCTATATGTAACAGAACAAAAGGGGAATTCTCTTTTCCTATATATGTTCCTCAAAAAATCAAGCAGATGGCGCAAAGCTGGGTATAGGATTGCTCGCATTCTTTTAGCATTATGCATGTAACTTAATTGTTTTAGAGCGCGTCGCTGTGGTAGCATCTCAGAGAACTGAAAGGCGCATGCTTTTACCCAGGACCAGAGTTTTAGTCCCCAGAAGTGTATCTGTGTTTACCACTGCAGGGATTGCACCTCGCTATTTGAAGTTACTGTGGACTGGAGTGTCTCTGTTCCCCTTTGAGAGTCATTTCGTGAAAAGCAAGCCTCCGTCTGCAGAGAATGAAAACTCATGGGAAACTAAAGGCTCGTTGTGTGAAGTGCAATTAATACGGGTTCTCGTGCTTTCCGAAAGGGCACGGCGAAGTCTGGCCAGCGCTGCTCAGATTGATACGTTAGCCCTTTGCTTTTTTTTTTTTTTCTTTTTTTTTTTTTTTCCTTGCTTTTTTTCTGGATAACCTTGTAACATATTGAAACCTTTTAAGGATGCCAAGAATGCATTATTCCACAAAAAAACAGTAGACCGACATATAGAGTGTTTAAAATAGCATTTCTGGGCAAATTCAAACGCTTGTGGTTCTAGGACTCACATCTGTTTCAGTTTTTCCTCAGTTGTATATTGACCAGTGTTCTTTATTGCAAAAACATATACTTGATTTAGGAGTGTCAGCATATTTTTTTCCTTCGCATCCTGGAACGCATTCAAGATCTTCCCAATACAGGAAAATTAACAAAAAAATTTGTGTAGAGACAGCAGCAAGCAGAGCCATGTTCAAAACAGTAATTATGGACTCACGTAAGAGGAAGACTGCTCTAAGTTTTGGTTCAGTTTATCTGTTCTGTTCGCTGCTGACCTCCTTGACGGAATATATTTTAGTAGCCTACCCAAACCCTTGGCTCAGACGATTTTGCCAATACCAAGTTTCAATTTGTTTTTGCAAACCATTTTGCAAGCCACTGGAATGATCCAATATGACACTCTCACAGGATAACTGTTCCAAATGAGAGACTGATACTGGCCGACTCCAAGAGATCGTTAGCAAAAACAGCCCCCAAAGGCTGAGTGGTTCCAATAGAAGTAGAGAGCGACATAGAGAAGGTCCTTGGAACTTGGAGCACGTCTGTAATGCCAATATGCACCAAGGCATAGGTCTAAAATACTGCTTGATCACTGTAAATGGTACTTTTAAAATATTTATTTTTTTAGAAAGTATTTTTTAATCTCCCCTCTCTCTATGGGATGGTGAAAAACAGATGCCGTCTTTTGGAAGTAAGATGATGAAATGAGTTTTTAAAACAGGAAACAGCAATGCAGGAATTACAACTTAGTAAAGGGATCTTCTAATTTACCTGTTCATACGAACTTTACCCTTAGGTCTGGTAATTGGATGATATTTTATTTCAGTGAAACCTCGTCTTGTTAGCCAACTTTAAAAAAAATGGATATGGAATGATTAAAGCTTGGGTATGATTTTTTAAGACAAAAATGTATCAATTTGAATCAAGAAGATTTAACTCAAATGCTGTCTCAGTATTTCAAACGCAAAAAAGGAGCGAGGAAAATTGCATCTGAGACCAGTTTTATATGCAGTGTACAATTTGCTGGGCTAGAAATGAGATAAAGATTATTTATTTTTGTTCATATCTTGTACTTTTCTATTAAAATCATTTTATGAAATCGGCGCAGTCATGTGTGTGTTTAGCAGAGACTGTTCATGGCCGTCGGAGTTGGATGCGTGTGGGCACGGAGCACAATTATGGTTTAGGGCATCCAGAAGAGAACAGTCACATCCCAGGCATGTAGTTGATAATTATGGTCGAATCTCCAGGATTTATTTTGTATTTTAATGCTCATTTTCCTGTTGGCTATTGCTAATCTTTCCATTTCTTATGTGTTCTGCTGCTGCTAACATAGAAGAGTTGTGTTAGGAGATTATTCAGGGTAGGCATTTAGCACAGTGACATGGGATTATGATGACATTCGAGGGCCAGAGAAGAAAATGATGTGAGGAGAGAAAATAAGGTTCTACATAAATGGTCAGAATCATCTGGAATATTCTGCTGGTAGTTTCTTGTTGCAGTGGTTGCCAGCCAGATGTTTAGATGAGAGGAGCTGCTCGGCTTCAGAACCATTGGCACTCTGGGCTGGGTAATTCTCTGTTGTGGGGGTTTGTCCCGTGTGACTTTTAGCAGCATCTCTAGTCTCTACCCACTAGATGCCAGTAGTACCCCCCATTCGTGACAACCAGAAATGTCTCCATTGCAGAATGTGCCCCAGGGAGCAGAATCACCCCCAGTTGAGAGCTGCAGCTTTAGATGGAGGGACTGAGGTCTGTGCACTTGGGGAATGCAGGCTAACTCCAGGGGTGGACTGTTACTTGCCTAAGCTGGCTGATAAGCCAGGGGAGCCCCTTGCCAGTTTCTCTGTGTAGAATACGGAGATGTAGCATCTTCCACAGGGCAGACTGGCTGAGCAATCAATAACATAGGCCCTGGAGCCAGACTGCCTGGGTCAAATCCTGCTACTGCCATTTGCTGTGTCACATTGGGAAAACTGGGTAGCCTCTCTGAGCGTTTGTCTTTAAAACGGGAGAGACTATCACACCTACCTCCTGGGTTGTTGTAAAGATAAAACGAGTTAACGTGTTTTGAAAGCTCAGAGGAGGTTCTGGTGCACGGTAAGAGCTCACTAAATGTTAGCTAGGAAGGCTAGAATCAGCCTGAAGACCAAGCCCAGGAAATGTGGGCCAGTGTTGTTTAACATACCCAGCCGTGGTTAGCTCAATGCTAGGAAGGCCCCCCGAGTGTTCCGGGAGGTTGCAAACTTGTGGCCTGTCTACATCACATTTCCAGATGTATTTTGTTTGACTGGCAAAGTATTAAAAATACTCAAATTAGCTGCCAGCATTGAAAAGATCAGTATTTTCACTTTCAAATGTGGATTCCTGGTTTGAAAACTGGGAAGAGCCGGCCACCTGAATGCATCGCATCCTGGGTCCCCTGTAGCCACAATCAGCTGGTCGAGGCAGCATTGACCCTCTGAGACAGGGCTGAGCATGTCCGATCAGTGAGCCATTCAAGACACGGAGCTGACCCCTGCAGGCTCAGGCACTTGTGAAGGCTGTTAAAGATGTTTTTCAACCTCACCATTGCTGACATTTGGGGTTCGATAAGTCGTTGTTTTGAAGGGCTGTCAAGTGCATTATGGAATGTTTAGCAATAGCCCAGGCTTCTACCCACTAGGTGCCAATAGCATCCCATCCTCCTCCCATCTGTGACAACAACATTGCTGAATGTCCCCTGGGGGGCAGAATCACCCTGGTTCCAACCCTTGTTCTAAACTGAAGGGTCTGTATTCATAAGCTAGCCTATGAGGTTAAAACAAAGAAATAAAATAAACAAAAATTAGTCTCTTGCTGTAAAGAAACGTCTGGCACATCATAGGAACTTGATAAATATTTAATGAGTGAATAAAAACATCCACTTCCCTCAGCCCCACCACCACTCTTGAATCTGACATAACCAGAAAGGGGCTCTGAAGCCTAACAATAATAGCAACTTAAGAGGGAAAATTAGTGTTAAAAATAAATATAATAAATTCTTGGCCAAATGTTCCCAGGGAGCCTGTTCCCACATAGCCAAGTGAAGATGCGCTCCGTTCTGTCATTTTCGTTATTGAGCTGCAATTTGTAACGAGCATCCCATCACCCATAGACCCAGGAGTTGCTCAACAGAAAGAGTTTCACTGCCAGACAAGTTTGGGAAACGATGAAGGGTGGATCATGGCTCCGCTGAGAGATGTATGCTGCGCATTAGCATATTGGCAGTGCTAAAATCAAAGATCGGCAGGAAAGAAGGCTGCCTCTTAACTCACGGTTCTTTGGGATGTTTTGACTCCTGTTCATTTAACACCTGTTATTATCCTCCGGGCAAATCCGGAGCCCTGGCATGGAGCTCCCCTCTCTCTGGCAGGTGTGTGGGGATGTGTTCTACTGAGGTCAAGAGCTGTCTGGCTTGCCTTCGTATGGCTGCAGAGGGGCTGGGGGGCTCCTTGGTGACTTGTCCAGTCTCGAATGCTGGCATTGCTCCTCTCACCAATGAGGGGCTGGCCCTAAGTGGCAGTTAATCCACTTTGCAGCCTGGGTGATTGGGATGGGAAAGGAGGTGCTCATGGAAGCAACCATGGAGTCCTGAGATATAAAACTACTACAGAGGCCCAGCTGGTGTGGCTCAGTGGATTGAGCATCGTCCCATACACCAAAAGGTCACTGGTTCTCTTCCTAGTTAGGGCATATGCTGGGGTTGCAGGAGGCAGCCCATTGATGTTTCTCTCTCCCTCTCCCTTCCTCTCTCTCTAAAATTAATGCAAATATATTTTTAAGAAGATAAAGATACCATAGAGGTGGGAATGAGAAAGAAAGGGAGGAAAACCAGAAAAGGGTTGAAAGAGGAAAAGAGGAAGGTATGAAAAGCAGAGTTGATCAACACCTTCAGACAAATCTCATTTCTACTAGTTAAAAAGAAAGTGGGATGGGAAGGTAATATTTGATAAGCATTTACCATGCATCTGGTACTTGCTAAGGGTTTTACCTTTTACCCACTTAAGTAAGCTTCCCAAGAATCTCCTGAGGTAATAATCTTCATATTATAGAGGAAGAAATGGAAGTTTGGAGAGCATAAGCCTGACCCAAGAGCCCATTTATTTACCCAAAATTCAGGATCTCCCTTTATTATTGTGCGTTCATACTCAAAGATGGCTGCCTAAACAAAGACTGCATTTCCCAGG